AGGCACAAAGTTTCTCCACTTACATCAAACTGAAGGTGATAAACTGATCCATCCAGCTCCACGGGGTAGGTCCTTCTGCCAGAGGGTGAGATGGCTTGCTGTGCTGGTTCTGGTCCCATTTGCACCAGCAGTTGGGCAGGAAGATGATTAAGTTAATGGTGTGGAGTGAATCCCCTGGTTGGGGTTTCAGTGGGCCCTGTGGCTCATTTTTATATCAGGCAAGTAAGGCCACTCACTCGCTTCTGCTGGTCAATGAATTTGTTTGGAGCTGAACTTTTTGGAAGCCATCTTAAGGTCACTCGTTTTCAATGGTGAATGGGGCAAATTAATAAAACCCATTTTTGAAGAGGGAATCAAAAATCATCTGTGAGCACAAAGAAGTGGCATGAATGTCTTGGGGTTCTGCAGAAATCTCCACTTGGGTTTGGAGTGCAAACCCTGATAAACTGCAGATGTTTTTGATTTGGAGTCCTGACCTCACCAGCTAGAGCCTGGTGGGAGTGCAGCAGTGAACTGTGATGACTTGGCCTTTGGGTTTTAGGGAATAGCATCAGGCTGTCCTTGGTGTCTGCTGTCTTCTGTAGGAATGTCCAGCTAGGCAATGCTTGCTTTGGGCTTTCTTCATTGCACTTCAAGTTCTTCAGCCTCTGCTTTTTAATTTCTTACTGGCATGCTTCTCAGTTCCTGTTCTTGAGCTTTGCTCCTGTACAGTCCGTTTTACAGAGTCAGGATTATTCCTGTCAGTACCAACCTTGTCCATGTGGTTTGAATAGCAGCTGCAGAACTGACCACTGCATTAACAATTTTATGCTGCTGCCTGTTGGAAAAGAAGCAGAAGCTCCCGACAGCCTGTCTGCAGGCTTTGCTGTGAGCTTTTCTTTATTAGCTCTACCAAAAATTTGAAACAGTCTTGTTCCCTTTTAAGGTCTTATGTAGACCGTTGTCTCTGGCGTTTTGTAGCTGAGGTTTTTCTCCAGCAGTCCTCTCTTCCTGATGATTTCTGCCTCTAGATTTCTTCCTCCGAGGCCTTCCACCGGACAAGCATCAGGAACCAAACCCCTTTTGTCTCCATGTCTGGCCTAACAGGGTGGGAAGCTTCATACATGTGTTCTTGTGTGTGCATGGCTAGAAGGAATCATATGACTCATCCCAGAGTAGGACAGTCCAGTGGGAAATGCACGTTGTGCACACTGAGCCTCGCTGCCTGCACAGCCACGGGGAGTTTGCCTGCATTGGACTCTGCAGACTCAGAGCACACAAAGGCGCTTTTGTCAAGGCAAATTGACCTTCTTTGAATAATTTCACAGATTAAGAATCAGAGAGAGAGAGCTCAAGTCGTCTACCCTTGCCCAAGCAACCTGTTTATTAGAGAAGCTGAGAGTAAGAGACTTTCCTGTGCCCAGGGCAGTAGACAGAGATCCGTCGTCTAATTTTTGCAGTGAAAAGCTTCTTTTTTTTTTTTTTTTTTTTTTTTTTTTGTAATGACATTAACTACAGTTAAAGCACCAACATTTTTGCAGGGACACAACTGCAGTGAATGACTGCCCAGTGATAACATGTGGTGTCATGCAGCTGGATGGTGTAGTACAGGCCCAGGCTCATGGTTCACCTCACTTTGTTCTATCACAGAGTCTAGTGGAAGGACAAAACCTGGACTGTGTATTGGGGCACAGTGAAACCACAGTAGAGATGTGGCTCAGAGCAGTTGGGGGCTGTGCCTTTGCTCCATCAGTGGGAGTTTGAGCTTTGCCAGTGGATTCAGGGGCAGAGAGTGACTGTTGTTTGGGCAGGGGCTAGGAGGCTGCTGGGGGAGGCCCTGGCTATGAGGGGCTGCTGCTGCCTGCCTGTGTGGGCAGATGGGCTTCCTGGGGAACAAGAGATGTGCCTTTCAAGTGCTCTTTGCTCAGAGCAGGAGGGCACTTTCCCTGGTAAAAAGTTCTACTGCAGCAAGGGTTGTCATTGCAGAACACTTAAAATTTGGAGGAACAACACTGGGAGGCCACATTCTGCTCTGCTCTGAACTATTTGCAGAGACTTCTTTTAACAAGAGTGATTTAACTTGGGGCAGGTTTCCATCTGTAATAGCTAATATGGACTCTACCCTTGTGAAGTGTCTTGCAGTTTTCCTTGAGAGATGTCATGCCATTTGTGTAGCCAGAGTGGATTACTGTGCTCACTTTACTATAGTGAAGTCAAGGAGAGTTTCTCTGTAGGTCTCAGATAACACCCTCTGAATTGCTGTGGTCAGGATGTTCACCAAGGGCTGCTGATGTGTGAACAGGTACTGGAGAGCTGCAGCACTGGGCATCTGCAGAGGCAACAGGGAAAGAGCTTTACACTCTGTGCCTGGTGGCTGGGGAGAAGGTCAACCAGACGCCTGCGGTGGCCTCCTCCATGTGCCTCCTCACTGCTCAGCCGTGCAGAGACCCCATGTTTCCATCCTCCTGTGCAGTCACACAGGCAGGGGCACGTGGCTCGCTGTGCTCACCCCCAGACACTCCGTCCGTTTGTCCTGCTGCGTGGTTCTGCAGTGAAGTCGTCATTTCCAAGGCAACTGGCTGTGGTCCCACAAACACGGGATTGCGGCTGCACCGCAGGCTGGGGCAGCTCCGTCGAGGAGGAGGAGTGTGAGGGAAACTATCAGGCAGTGAAAGCAGGCAAAGGGTCTCTCCCCTCCAGAAGACTGTTGGGAGCCATCCTTGGCTTTCTCCTGCAGGCATCCAGTGTCACACGTGTCTGGTTGTGTGACACCGCTCGGGTTCAACTTGTGATAAAGGCTGGAAAGACAGGCAGGGCTGCCTCAAATGGAGAACAAAGCTTGGGCTAACTTGATGCTCTCTTAGTTTTTCTGACACTTGTAAAATGTGCTCTGACTTCTGCATTCAGCTTTCTGGTTTCCCTAGCCAGTAATTTATGGCAGGAGCACCAAGCCAACAGCAGTCTGTGCCTCACGAGGCAGCTTGGCGCAGTCTGAAGTTGCAGTTGTGCAGTGCCTTTAGCACAGTTTAAAATCTTGCATTTGTGGGAGGGATCCTCATAAAGAACTTTGATAATATTAATTCATCACCTCAGTATCACCCCATTCAGCATCTGTGTTTTGGTTTTGCTTGCTCTTTTTATAAGACAGTGATTTGGAGTTACTTTATTTCTGTTACTTTTACAAACAGCAGGAACAAATCCAAGCCAGTGAACTAGTTCCCATAATGCAAATACAACAGTGAAACGTGTTACAGTTCATGGAGTTGAATGATAATACTCAGGTTTTTATTGAAAAAAATCCTCCATGTGTGTGTTTGTTTTTTTTAAGAAATCTGATGCCTGAAGCACAGTAATGAGTCAGTTCTTTGGCTGCTCATGCCAGTACAGAGGTTATTGCTAGCAGTTATGAAAACTGCAGAGTTTGATAACCCA